ATAATAAATAAATAAATCTTTAAAAAAATCCATCTTTAATCTGGGCCACACCTTTTGCTGAAGCCTGTCTTTATAGAGGACAAGGAAAAAGGAAGCTTGCTCTCTGCCTGAGTGCCCTCCTTTTTGCTGGCAAGTCCATTCCTTCACTGGCATTAGTGTCTACTTCTCTGGGATTCCAATGTGTGAAAGACCAGCAGAGACATCCAGCCTCATGGACTGAACAACTACTGGATTCTTGGACTTTCCACTGGCAGACAGCCATTGTTGGATGGACAAGGTGGACCACAGCCCATGAGCCATTCTAATAAATCCCATTACATATGTACGTCTGAGAGAGCGATTCTTTAAGTTCTGCTCCTCCAGAGGACCCTGACTAATACAGCCCTTATCCTGCCACCAAGGGTCACCCTCTCCACCAGCTCAATCACCATTGTTATCACCATCATAATCATCAAACTAAAGAAGTCCCAAGTGCTGTGGGACAATGGTCTGGTACCATGTAAAAATTTGTCACTTGTATTGGTTTAGTAAAACACTGATTGGCCAGTATCCAAGCAGGAAGTATAGGTGAGGCAACCAGACTAGGAGAATTCTGGGAAGAGGAAAGGCAGAGACACAGTCACAAATCAGATGCAGAGGAAGCAAGATGAGAATGCCTTACTGAGAAAAGGTACCAAGCCACATAGTTAAACATAGACAAGGATTATGGGTGAATTTAAGTCCTAAGAGCTGGTTGGTAATAAGCCTGAGCAATAAGCCAAACAGCTTATAATTAATATAAGCCTCATTGTGTTTATTTGGGACTGAACGACTGCAGGACCCAGCGGGACAGAAACTTCTGTCTATACCCAAGACCTTTGCTCCTGCCTGGCACCCTCCTCTGATCCTTCTACAGGCCCCACCCATAGTCACTTCCTCAAAGAGGCCCTTGCTGACCACCTGACAAGAAAGAGGCCCCGTACCCCTCTTCCCATCCCCGACCCTGGCTCCCTACACTGGTTTATTTTTTTCATGGTGTTTGGTAACATCCAGACGTCTCCTTTCTGAGCCTGGCCAGTGGTTACGTATTTGGTTCCCACAGTGTGCACACGCCAGAGAAGCAGCACACCGGCCTGGCCCACTATTTCCCTGAACAGTCTGGAAGACGAAGGCTTCCAAACACATTCCCAGTGGGTGGGGGAGGGGGATAATGACATTGCCATCATACCGAGTGTAACTACTTGTTCCTGGCCTAGAAATGAAAACAATTTGAAGACAGACGTTGACTCATCCCCTTTCATATTCTTGGAGGTCCACATAAATTAATAAATCAAGCAAGATATGAGGAGGGCAGTGATGGACGGGTAGGTGGATGGGCGAGTCAACGGATGGACGGAGAGATAAACTGGCAGGTGGGTGGATACAGGCACAGCTGCATGGGTGATCATTAGGGACACAAATGAACACAAAACACCCCAGCACACAACCTCTGACACGGCTGGCAGCACGCGTTCACTCCAGCAGACAAGCCCTGGTGTGGCTAGTTCAATCCAGAAAAGAACTGTGACCAGCTGCAGGCGAAGTGACTGTTTGTGGCTGTCCCTAGACCTCTGCACCCAGAGTGAAAAAGGGCGCAGCTGGTGCTGGTGGGTACTGACCTCACAAGCCAGGGTGTGCTCAACCCTGCTACCATTGGAGTCCCTCATGCCCCTATGCCCAGTGCACTGCCCGGCTCCCCCAGGCACAGTAGGCTCCTGACTGCCTGTACCTCCACTGCAGCCTGGCCTCCCCTCTTTGAACCCTGTTTCCCCAGAAGGCTGGACCTTAAAGCTAACTAAATCCATGACATTACCCAGCACCCCCTGTACGACAGATCCTAGGTAGGGTTTCTGGACTTGGAAGTCACACAGACTTGGTACACAGTGGACACATTAAAAAAAAAATGAACATATAGGTAAATAAGCCAGGAAGAGCTGGTTTGTGTTTAGTCATGGGGAGGTTATTCTTAGACTTTCCCTAGGTTCGTGCCTGACTTATGACCTCACGGTCACAGGAGGGGCTGCTGGGTAACCTGTGCCTGAGGTCAGGGTCCACACTGAGTCACCATTCTCTATAATCTCTAGGAGACCATAGGCCATGGGCAGAAGGGTGGCCATACCTGTGGGAGGATACACCACAGGACCAGGAGAAGACATTTCCCCTTTCAGGACCCAGTTGAACTCCTAAGGCTGGGAACACTTTCCCTTCACAGTAAGACAGCTCGCAGGAGCAGACAACAGCCATGACAGCAACAAGCAGCTGTTCTGCAGCTGGCTGCGCCAGCACCGTGTGGGCAGAGCTACAGGGCAGCCGGTGGGTAGTCCCATGACTGGCAGCAGTGGGTGTGGTCACGCAGATTTGCTGACTCAATCAGCCCTGGGGGTCCCAGGCTGGCTTAGATATGATAGACAGGACAAAACAATCCACAGTCAACGTTGGCTGAGTCCCAGGACTCACATGTTCCCTTTCCTGGAGGGGCTACAGTGGGGAGCTGGCAGGAGCTGTGGGAAGGGGGAGCAGGATGAGGACTAACAGCCTGCCCAGCCCAGCCTGGGGGAGGAAGTGCCCAAGTCCCAGCCAGCACGTGTGGGCCCTGGTTATAGCTCTCCTCATGCTGTGTGGCCTAAGGCAGAAGGCTGAGCCCCTCTGAATCTTGCTTTTTTTTTTTTTTAGAGCAGGAAGCGGTTTGTTTACCCAAAATGGCAGGGGAGGTGGGCAGCACTCAAGTAAGGATGGACAAAACCTGAGATAACAAGGGCTAGGGTGTAGTTCAGTTGGTAGAGTGTCACCTTGGCATCTACCAGGCTCTACCGCCCATCAACAGTGCAGGGGGCACACACCTGTAACCCAGAATTCAGAAGGCAGGAACAGGTGAAGAATGTTCAAGGTCATCTTTGGCTGCATAAAGAGTTTGAGGCCAGTCTGGGCTACATGAAATAAAAACCAAACTCCTAAAAGGATGAAGATATGTGACCCTGGATGAGCATGCAACAGCAGGAAGTTACGGACAAACAAGGACAGACTGACAGCTAACATTCATCGGACAGACTGACAGCCAACGTTCTTCAGGCAGACTAATAGCCAATGTTCACCAGGCTTCCCCGACCATCTCGGGCGAACTCACAGATGTCACCAATCCCCAGGCCTCATCTGAAACGCCATCCTAATCAAGCTGGGTCCTTATTGTGGGCCTCAGTTTCCCCATTTCTACAGAGTTGAACAGACACAAAGAAGGGGAGAAGGAAAGGGAGAGGAGGGGGGGAGGAAAAGAGGAGGAAAGGGGCCTCCTCAACCAAAGCATTAATGAGGAGTCCTCATTTGCTCTGAGACCAGACCAGCTCCATCCCACAGGAGAAACTAAGTCCCATGAGGCCACAGCTCTGTCCCACAGGAGAAACTGAGTGCCCAGAGGCCACAGCTCCATCCCACAGGAGAAACTGAGTCCCCAGAGGCCACAGCAGCTGAAGCTGGTCTTTCCTTTCAGATGCTCCAAGTCTACCTGTCCATCCCAGGTTGTGGGAGGAGTCAGAAGGGTGTTGGACACCACTGCCTCCTTGAGGCTGCTTCTTAACATTGCAGGTATGAGACCAGAGAACCCAGTCCTGCAGGGCTGAGTCCTGGTCCTTCCTTCAGTCTGCAGTCTGCAGGAGAGGAAGTCCCACACTCCTCAAGCAGGGCACAGAGGCCTCAGAGCCAGAACAGAGGAGTCAAGGCAAACCATCCAGGACTCTAGGGACAAAGTCTTCTTGATGGCACAGAGGACAGAGGAGGAGCCTGCAGCAAGGAGGCCTCCTGCCGGCCAGAGACTGCAGACAGGTTCCAGGCCTTTTCTCCCCATAACCTTTGCCTTCACAGGTACACACAGAAGTTTACACTGGATCAGATAAGGGAGGTGGTGCCACCAGAGAGGGACTAGAGACAAGGGTATCCGAGTAAGGGAACCTTCAGAGATGGCCAAGTGTCACATGCCTGTAAGGCTGCCACTGGCATCTAGGTACGAGGGCCACTCCCAGGGCCACTCAGCAGACGACCGTCCCCCCGGCCACACACCCTGTTACTCCACCCCTACAATAACAGCAAATATGCCCATTTTACAGCTGAGGAAACAAAATCTCTGAGAAGGGAAGTCTCTCTAGACCACGGACATGGGAAGGTATGGGAGGCAGAACTCGAGCCACGCTGGTCAACAGCTACCCTGGGCCATGCCTTCAGGGCACCATTCGAACAAGGAGAGAACTCGATCCATTACAGACTGCATAGAAATCAACCAAATCACCAGAGGATCCTGGGTCACGGCTTCAAAGGTCAGAGGTTTCCCAAGAAACACGGTCCTTTTCCCAGGTCCTTCTTAAGCCAGCATAAAAGTCGAGAGAGGAAGAGTAGGCCAAAGAGACACAGCCAACAACCTGCAGCCAGGCAGTGTGGCGGCGTGTCTGCTGGGTGCTCAGAACCATGCCAAGCCTCTCCTGTGTCACCTCCTCAGTGCCCACACAGCCACATCTCTCCCCACTGTGTGGACAGGGACAGGTGATCGTGGGCCCCACAAGTCTGGAGCTGGCTTTCTACAGCCTCCTAATGGCCCTCATGGGTGCATTTTCTCTGGCCTGGCTCCCTCCAGATTCAACTCCCATCTCAAATCAGCACCGACACAGGAATCGCTAGCCCAGTTGTCCCTGCCGAGAAAATCAAAGGGTGCAGACACTAAACTCTCAAAATCTCAAGGCTGTTGAAAAGACACAGTGCTACAGATCGAACCCAAGACTTTTTATCAGCCTCCGTGGCCAGCTGCAGAGCCCCGCCTAGTGCCAAAAACCCAAAAGCAGCGAGGGTTTCCCCAGCACAGAGGGTCTGGCAACCCAGTCCCCAGCTGGTCACCCATTTGCCAGGCATCTGTCAACCTGAACCCTCCACACACATTCCCAGACCCTTCCAACACAGACCACGCCTGTGAGTCCCTCTCCAGCGGTACGACTGTCACTCACCACAAAGGGTCCACTCTTCTTGTCCTTGCAAAAGCTGTGACTTCGCCTGGGGACAGAGGCAACGGGGGACACTTGCCGGACAGGCTTCTGGCCGTCCTGCTCCAGGTTCTGCGAAGGCACCTGAGATAGAGAACACAAGCAAAGAATCTTAGTGGGAACCCCTGTTTACAGGACAGGTGTGTCACAGCATCAGAACCCCCCACTGTCATGGTCATGGATAACATCTGGATGGCAGGTCTTGGGCCCAAGAGGCCCAGTTTCACAGCTGCATGACCTCAAGTAATTCCTTAACCTCTCTGACCTCAACCATGTGGGAACAAACAATATTAACAGCTTCAAGGGGAAACAGAAATTAGACGCCTGTTCAGAACGTGCACAACATGGTCCAGCCACCAGGGGGCAGGCATGCCTGGCTCATGTGCCCGACCCACTGGGCCTCCAGTTTGCGAGCCTGTCACTGCCCATGGTGATCCTGTGGTCCTATTTTGAACATCTTCGTGGAGGGCATGTAGTCTGAATTCCTCTCAGCTACACACTGGGGAACCCATCACAGCCTAGCACACCCAGGAGTTCAGAAAGTGCTACCTGCCCCACTCTACACAGGTAAGTCAGCAGGCCCAGAGAGGGCAGGCTGTTAATGACACACAGCATCAGGAAGGGCAAGGCTAGCCCCTTTCCACCCATCCTTATTCTTGACTCCCTAGACCTCTTTTGGCCTGCCGTCTCTTCTGGCTACTTGCTCACATTCCTTGAACACCCTAACCCTGCACTGGGCCTTCTCTTCTGCTTCTGTGTCCTTTCTGCTGGGCTCATTTCCATGTCCCGGTGGCATTAAATAAATCCCACCCACATGTCAGTCTGGCCTGTTGGTGCTGGGTGGCATTAAATAAATCCCACCCACATGTCAGTCCGGCCTGTTGGTGCTGGGACCGAAGGCCAATCTAGACTATGGTGTCAGAACCTCAACACCCAATGAAAAGTACAAAATGTTCTGAACTGAGATGAGGAACGGCAAAGAGTTTCCAGGCTGATACTTTTTTATCTTCAAACAGACCCTTCGTCCTGAAGCTGAAGGGCTCCTGAGGCAGCATGGGGCATGAATGCAGCTTACTGAAGGATGCTCTGGGGTAGATTACACACCAGACTCTTGCCATGGTAAAAATTAATTTACCATAAAATCAAGTAAATTCCTGTACACCAAACAAACAGAAAGAAAACAAAACCCAAACAAACCAAACTTCACACCCTGGACCAAAACTAGGGCAAAAGAGAACAAGATCTTAATGGAGAAGCTGAAAGTAGAAAACAGAAAAGAGAACAAGCCTCACATTAGCCAGTGGCTTCCAAGACACGGCACAAAAACACAAGTAACAAGGACTTGGTCAACCCAAAAACACGTGTGCCTAAAGAACACCATGACAACAGTGAAGAATCCACCTACAGACAGGAAGAGAGCCCACAAGTCAGTCTTCTTAGTCCCACAACATACAAAGAGCAATGGCAATTCAACAACAAGGAAACAAGTCAATGGAAAATAAAGCAGGATCCAAACAGTAATTACTCCAAAGAATTATACCAACAGCCAAGTGAGCAACAGAATGACCCCAGGCTAAGAAGAGTCATCAGGAGCCAGGAGCCGAGGAGAGCCATGGCTACCAAGTCCTCGGCTTCCCCAGAGGACAGGCAGATGAGGGTGTCTTATAAAAAGCAGGACTTCCTGGGGTGACAAGGACTGTGTCTGAAAGAACAATGATGAAACACACCCTCCCCCAAGGCTGCCCTGGGTCCCCAGGACAAGCCCACCTGAGCTGGGCATCTGTACCATAGCTCCCACCTCCTCCCCAGGTCCTGGATGGCCCAGGTCTGTCTGGTCATTCAGATGGCCTTTCCAGACTGTTCCCCACCATCCCAGCATTACCTTCTGCCTGCCAGGACCAGCCAGTCTCCAGGGACCTCACCTGCTCACTGGCTTCAGGTTGTTGGTACCTGCGCAGTCACTAAAATGTTCTACAGGACCAAAGCAATCATGCAAGCTTGGACATGGCCAGGACAGCAGAGAAACTAGACTTGAATCTAATTTAAACTAAATAACACCCAGATAGTATCCGCCATGCCACCTGAGAGGCAAGCAGCTTCAAATATGGCTTCTTCTATTCCTCTCCTGTCACCCTCCTGCCTCAGCTACCAGAATGGTGGTACAATAGGCATGCCTCACCATGCCTGGTTAAAACATTCCTTTTTTATAACTGAATACTATTCCACTATGGGGCGATACCACATTTTATCTTCCCAAGGACCTTTTTCTGAGACGGGGTCATACACAGCCCAGGCGGAACTGGAACATGATCCAGGCCCGTGTCACCATGCCTGACATTTGCTCCCTGAACAAAGAGGACGTGAACAGTGTGCACAGAGGCCCAAGCTCTAAAAGGGACTATATGGTTTTGTAACGTGCATTTATTATTACTGAGCGTGTATGATATGAGAGGGTGGGGGCAAGTGTGCCGTGGGCGTGTGTGGGGTCAGGAGTCCATCCTCTCCCTCCACCTTTCCAAGGGTCGCAAGGATCGACTCCAGGTCCTCGGGCTCGTAAGGAAGCACCCTTACCCTCTGAGTCACCTCACCAGCCCCTTCCTGTTCTATGTCCAGAGCAGAACTCTGTACAGTCAGCTCTTGCCTTCCATTAAAGGAAATTGAACTTGGGCCTTCAAGGTTGCCCACGCCGGATTGGATTTTAAAAGCTGTGAGGTCAGCAGAGCTCTCAACCCCACACCTCGGGGAGCTTCAAACCAAGTCAACTCCACCCCAGAGACTTCAGCCTAACTGTTCTGGGATGGGCCAGGCCTGGGCGCCATGCCAGAGTCTCCCCAAGTGCCACTCTCTCCCACAGGAAGGGATGAAGGCACCAGACTAAACTTCCACATCCCTGTGGTCTCTGAAAGCAATCACAAACAACGGGGGATCATAAAAGAACCCAAGCCATTCTTGGGAGCTGAGAGAAAAGATGTGGCTGCGGAGGGGTCAGCCTTCACCTCTTTAAAGCACACTTGTGAGCCAAATTAAACCATTCAAGTAAATGAAATACTATCACCTGGCCTGGGACAGAATTTTCATAAATGTTTGCTAAGTAAAAAAGAGAGCTGGGCCTGGAGGTAATCTCAGCTACCAGAGGGGAAGAGAGGGGAGGGAGACTGGAGGGAGGGGACAGGAGGGGAGGGGAGCAGAGGCCAATAACCTCAGCTACTGGAAGGTGGGGATGGGGGAGAGGAAAAAGGAAGGGAGGGGAGGGAGGGAAAGGGGAGGGGAGGAGGAGGGAAAGGGAAGGGAGAAGAGAGAAGGAAAGGGGAGGAGAGGAGAGAGAAGGCCAGTAACCTCAGCTACTGGAGGGGAGGGGAGAGGAGAAGAAAGGAGGGAAGGGAGGGGAGGGAAGGAGAAAGAAGGGAGGGACGGGGAGGAAAGAGAAGGATCCTGAGGCAGGAGCATTGCAAAGACTTGCTAGCAAAAGAATGAGTAAAGGCCAGCCTAAGAACAGAATCACCCTGTGTCAAAATAAAAAAGAAAATAACTCTCACTGGTAGCTGCTCACCCAGCACACAGGATGCCCCAGAGACCCTGGGTTCGATCCCCAGCACCAGCATTGTCAGTAGCTGGACTGCACGTGAAGATTCTCCACAGTGCAGAGCGGCCAGAGTGCAGGCGCCAGGGAGGAAGCCCAGATCCAGCCCATGATGAACCACTTCAGTCACTGCGAAGGGTGGCTGTGTATGTGACGGCACTCTTTGCTCTGAGCGCTGGTTCTCAACCCTTGGGCTTGTGCCTACAGTAAAACATCTTAACTAACAACCCCCAGAGTGTAGGAGTACCCTGGAATGCTGCCACGTTTCACACTAACTATATGCCCCATGTCCCCTGGCTCTAGAGCAGGGTCAAAGGTGACCTGGCTCACTCTGCATGGACTGCCCCGCTCCATGGAGGATTCAAACGGCAGCTCTGAGTTCTGCCTAAATGACAGTAATAACCCATCCCCAGAGTGACAACAAAATGTCCCCAGAGGGCTGGGGATGTAGGCTCACTTGCCACAGCCATGGCCAAGGGTGTCTAAGGAGTATGGCTCACAGGCTGGGAGAGGCCACCCTGTTCCATCCAGCTGGACCTGAGCTTCTGATTCTCCTGCCTCCTGAGTAGCTGGGGTTTGGGGTCTGCACCACAAGGCCTGGAAGGCAAGCATTCTGTGAGGGGCCTCACTTCCTGCGCCCCCACATTCCCTAGATGGTTGAAATTCACCTAAGCACCCAACAGAAATGCACCACGACTGTGTATGTGTAGTGTGTGTGTGTGGGCGGGGGGTGTTTGGTGTGTGTTATGTGTGTGTACACAACCATGGAACATTTCTAGCTTCTAAAATATACAGTACCGTCCCAGGCTGCAGAAATCCTCACCAGCTGCAGGGAGGAAGGCTTCCCGCTCCCTCTGCCCCGGGAGGTCTGCAGAGTTTAGAGCCCTGAGCTGAGGTCTCTGGCTTTTCATTTTCACTCATTTGCTTGTTTTTGTTCTTTAAGATCAAGAAGCAGAGAGACTCAAGGAAGCACAGATAGGGGTCAGGAGGGTCAGGCCTTGAAGGACAGCCTGTGCTACAGGAGACCCTGACCCCAAAGTCAACCAAACAAAGGCCTTCCTGCAGGAGAGAAGCAGGAAGGGAGAAACAGGAAGCTGGTCTCTCCATCCCTCAGCCTTGAGAAAGCTGATCCCTGACAACCAGCCCTCCTGGGGCCTGGGCACTCAGGGCCCCTCTGCAGCCCTGGCTCTCCTTGCCAACTGCCAGCGGGACCTGAGGTGCTGGAGGGCTGAGCAAGTGTCACCTTCCACAGCTCGGGAGAGCCCCTCACAGGAGCACGCAGCCTGCTGCCGCCTTCAGCTCCCCACAGCAGGGCTTCAAGGCTGGGAGCTGCCATCATTCCTGAGCGGTGTGGGCACAGGAGGCACCGGACGCACGGAGAAAGTCCATGGCAAGTATGGAAGGCTCTGCATGTGGCACTTAGCAAGCCTGAGCTCCCAGAAGAACCGCAGTTTTGAAGCCTCATCCCCCTCGACACTCCTCGCAGTCCCCTTTGCACAGGCTAGCCCCCTGGTTCCTCTCCCACAGGCTTGGGGATGAGAAACTGTTTGTCGCAATCCTGGGTTGTGCTCTACTTTAAAGACACTGTGACCTGAAACTGCAGGATAATGCGGAAGGGAAGAAGCCAGCCCGGGGCTGGGGATTCACAGCCACTGGAACTGTGGGAAATGAGTCTCTTCTCCAGAAGTGTCCAGCCTGTGACATTTTGTTACAGCAGAAAACACCGCCCAGGCTAGGCTGTTGCCTCCCGCTGAATCACAAGACAATGGCTGTGAGGGACTACTCCAGCTTCCAGGCTGGAGTAGTCCCAGCTGCCCCTGCTGTGGCCATCCCAGCACACCCCTCCCTGCTCACCCATCAGTGTCTCCTCAGGGACCGACTGAACTCAATGCCTCCTCCAGGATGCCTTCCTGGGCCACTCCTCCAGCACTTCATTGAGCATCATGTAACTTCCAGGTCCCCATCACTCAGCCAAGGCAAAAAAATCTCTCCAAGGGCTGTGCCGGGCTTCAGGCTTCCTCCCCGCCGTGACCACAGTGGCCAACATCTCATAGGCATCTGGCCAGGTCTGGGCTCAAGCACCTTTGCCTTTTGCTGTGTGACCTGTAATAGCTTTCTTAGTCTCTCTGAGCCCTGTTTTTTGAGTTTTACTGCCTATTTCACACCTGTAGCAGACCTTGTCAGCTCCCTAATACTCAGGACAGATACACGAACTGGTGCAGAGCTGTCCTACCGTGTGCAGACAGCCTTGCTGTCCAATCAGAATGGCAGAGTCTCACATTCACAGACACAGGCTTAGAGGACAATGGGAGGAAGTAGAAAATCCATACTTTGGGCCCTCTGACCCTTGACCCCATCAACTCACTCGTGTTATGAGTTTCCCAGAGGTCCTCAGGACACCAAGTTTTATTGGTGCACACACTGATATCAAATTCCTTGCCACCTTCCCAGTTCTCAGCCAGTCCCAGCCAGTCCCTCTGGTCACCACCTTAGCAGGCTTCTGCCTCTGGGGGGACCCAGAGTTGGGGTAAGCCAGCTTGTAAAACCCAGTAGGCCTCTTACAATCATTCACACGCCAAAGATCTTTCTGGAAGCTCACGTACTTGCTGCTGGCTCTGGGAAAGACGATAAGGAAGCTGGTACAGAGCAGGCACTCTACTATGCTCACGTAAAATGTTCGCTCTCATCCCCATCCCAGGTCGAGTGCTGAACCCACAATCCACAGCCAAGCAGACAGAGCAAGGGACTAACTTGGCTGGGAGGGTTTTCTAACAAACCATCTTGTGACAGAGGAAAATCCACCTGAAAAATGTGGATTTCTCTGAGCAAATGATGTCACTTTCTCAAGGCACAAATTGGTCAGGGCTGGGGCTAAGTACTAGCTTCACATGCCCTACCCAGCAAAAGAAGGGAAGTGGGGAGAGGAGAGAGAGAAGGAGGAAGCACAAACTTCGTGGAGTCTGGAAGGGTCTGCACACCTACCTGGATGCTCTGCTCCCACAGCCTCTGCCACTCCCCAGAGTGCCTAGGCCTCCTCCACTCAGTCACATACCCAAGGCTGAGCCTGACACCCGCGCTACAGACATTTAAACATCAGCCAGAATTAAAATGACAAGAAAAAAGCACCTGTGTACTAACCTTAGGACCATCTGGCTTCCTTGCCTCCTTCTGGCAGGGTCCCGTTGTGGCCTTGGGTGTCTCCGCAGGGAGGCTCAGCTTCCCTCTCCGCTGCCTGGCGTCCTGCATGACTGACAGGCCTTCCCGGATCCTGGCTGGTGGGCCCTTCTCTGAGCAGGCCCTCTTGATGTCCAGTGGTGACACTGGTGACATATAGTCATGTGGGGGGGTTCCCCACTGCACTCCATCGCCCTCCACTCCCTGACTAGTGGACTTCTTTGGCGTCGCTTTCTTTTGATCAGAGGGAGGGGTCCTGGGGGAGATTCCGTCCTCCCTGTCTGGCTCCTGGGACTTGGCTGGGCCTTGCCTGTTCTTTGCCTCCTGGTGCTCACTGGGGGAGGGCTTGCTTTCCAACTCAGAAATGCCTGGGGATTTTTTCCTGGAACCAGCAGGGACAGGGGAGACTGAGGAACAGTTTTCCACAGAAGCTGAGTGTGGTGGTGCCCACAGTGGCAGGCTAGACTTGGTGGTCATGGCTGCCCCGAGGGGCTCTGCTGGCTGCTTGCTCGGGCCAGGGGACTGGGGAGTTTTCACAGAGGTCCCCGCTTGTTTTCCAACACTGTCTGACCAGGAAACTTCATTCAGGCTCCTCCGTCCCCATTCCACCTTGGGCCAACCTGATCTCTCCTGAGGGGAGCCACTGGGCTCTGCTGGAGGACCGCCCCTCTGCTCCTGAGTCTCGCTGGGGTTTCTGTTTGATTGCTCTTTATACTCGGCCATCAGAGCATCAATGTCGAGGACGCCAGACCTGTAGCCATCTCTCACCTTCCCTGGGAATGTCTCGCTGATCACCTCTGTCCTCCTTCTGACCAGGAGACTTTTGGGGCGCCTCAGGACCGGGGAGGTCTGTGGGGCACCCACGCCTGAAGATACTCTGGTCCTGCTGCCTTTCTCAGTTCCATCCTCTGACCCCCGATGAATCCCCAGAGCATCCACATCAATAACTCTGTCCCTGGAAGGATCCAGAATCCTGTCCCCAGCAGAGGATGGCTGCTCTGTGGCCTTCGGGTGTTTTGGAAGGCCCTTTCCTTCTTCGTGTCCTCTGCCCTTGGCCCAGCCCTTACTGCTGGTAGGAGCCCGTGGCTCTTTGTGGCTAGGAGAAGCCAAAGTAGACAGAAAAGAGCGAGGCGACAGAGGAGGAGGGGGAGTCGTTCTTCTAGGAGGTTCTGACACATTTTCAGGCCCTGGTTTAACAACACTCTTGGCCTTTTGAATATCGGGAATCTGGTAAGTCACTGCAAAGAAAGTTGCACTGGGTTCAGCAGACAGCCCTGGCTTCTCCACTGGGCAAGTCCTACTTTGTGAGGCACCTGGCGTCAGTTCTTGACTTTGTGCCTGGTGGTGGGACAATGGAGGTCTCTTTAAGGCACAGGTTGAGGAGGTCACATCATCTGCAGGTCTCTGCTGCCTTTTGGAAGTGTTCTCCGGCGTGAGGAAGCTGAATGCATCAAATTTCACATCGTGTGGCAGAGTCCGCCGCCTCCACCTGTCCATCCTTGGCTCCGAAGGGTTGGATCTTCGCATTATGACTTCATGCTGGAATGCCTGGGCCAGCCTTGGGTTATCCTCACTGGCAACTTCAAGGGGACCTTTCTGCAGAGACAATGAGTTCAGCCTTGCCTGTACTAGGGAGTCACAGGGTTCAACGGTGGCCCTGGATGGAGGACTTGAAGAGCCATCCCAGGATGGACCCATTTTGGGTCCATTGAGATCTCTGCCGCCCACAGAGGTGCTGTGCCAGCTTGTCACTGCCCCTCCTGTCCATTTAGAGGGTGGGAAACTACCCCCAAATCCATCCTGTGGCTGCTGACAGTCAAGCTTTGATCCACTGGCCTCTTGACCCCGAGCTTCCCATAAAGAACTTGCCCTTTGGACAGCACCCCCATGGACCTGCAGAGCACATCCCAGGTGAGTAGGGCTGACCTCCTGGGATAGCTGCCGACCCTGCAGTGAGAGTCGGTACCTGCCACTGCGTAGCGTCACGGCCTTCTCCTCAGGCACCCTGGAGACTGCTTCACTGTGTGCTCGCTCCCCTGCGGCATGCACAATGTCATACTTGGGCTGGATCCTCTGGGACACAGGGGAACTCTCTTGATGTGTCAGAACAGTGTTAGTGCTGTGCCCTTCTCCCATGCCCTGTGTCTCAGGGACAGATGTGGGATACCGTATTGGCTCCACATCCACAAGGACAGCTTGTCCCAGCATCCCTGGGTCAGCATGGTTGGACCACCTAGAGCTGTCTCTCTTGCTCATTACTCCAGGAGGGTCCTTCCCTAGCCAATAGCCTTTCTCAGACCTGGGTTTGGGATCTGGGATGTCAGCCACATCATGAGGAGATGTAGGTGAGAGACAATGGCCTGCCTGGTCAACCACTGTGTGTCTCTCCACATGATGCTCAAACATCGTGGCCCACACCTTCTGGAAGCTTCCGTCATCTTCTGGACTGACTTCAGAAGGGCCTGGGTCTCCTGGTGAGTATTTACGCTGAAACTTGTCAGGGTCCTGGCCAGAAGCATCCTTGGGTTCAGTCTGCCTAGACTTCTGGAGAACCCCAGACTTCCAAGAACTTTTTGTGGTGGGAGTTCCATCCAAACCATGTCCTTCCTTAGGCTGAAAAATGACAAAAAACAACATTAGAATTTGAAATGGACAGGAACTGGGGAGGCAAATGAAGTGGCTGCCCTGTTAAAGCAGCAAACTGTCTCTCAGATGGCTCGACCTGGAAAGCACCTGCCACCGGGCCTGGTGACCTGAGTTCTACCCCTAGAACTGAAGTTGGAGGGTGGCATCTGACCACATGCCGTGGCACACGTATCCCCCTCCACACAGTAATAAAAAAAAGTTAAACTGTTTAATTAATGAAGAAAAAACAGCAAGACACTATAAAATGTGTGTTGTGAGAACACCTTCATGTGTGTCCATATACACGGAGACCAAAGGTCAACAACAATGTCTTCTTCTGCTGTCCACCTTATTTAACAAGGCCTCTCACTGAACCTGGAGCTCACCGATTCAGCTAGGCTGTTTGGCTAAGCAGACCCAGGGAACTCTCTGTCTCCACAGCCTCAGTTCTGGAATTGTGGGTGTACCACTGTACTTGGCTTTTTCATGGGGGTGGGATTCGAACTCAGGTCCCCAGGCTCACACAGCAAACACTATATCCATCAAGTCAAACCCTACCCTAAAATACTAAAGGCTGAAGAGCATAGACAATATAGACAAACAGGCTTCTCAGACTTTGCAGGGACAATGCTGACAGCTTACTGCGGTTGACTGATGTGGGAGATAAGGTTTTGCTAAGAATTACCACAATTTTTAAAAATCAGTAGATACTATTCCTTATAGAGATGATCCCTGGTTAAATGTAAAGTAAGGGCTTATTAACCTCTTCTTTCTTGACAATTTTTGAATAATTGAAATTTATAGAAAAATCAAATGTCCCTCAAGATTTAAGCACAGTCAGCACCAACCCCCAGCCTTCCGAGACCCATGCTGCAGTGCCGCAGCCTCTGTGGTAGCAATGGAGTGGCCATCACTGCCCTTCCCAGGCAGCTCCTGCCCTTGGAGACTCACTGAGAGAGGGACACGGCCTTGGAGAAGCTTGTGGTCTATTATTCAGAGATAGCAGAAATCCCTTTTGACACAGCAGCCGCATGGCCCAGCCACGCCACTCCTAGGTATTTACCCAAGCAAAGCAAAGCAAAGTAAAGCAAAGCAAAGCAAAACAAAACAAAACAAATTGGGCTAGGGACGTGGATCAGTTAGTAGAGTCCTAGGGACGTGGATCAGTTAGTAGAGTCCTTGCCAAGATCCACAAAGCTCTGAACTCCATGTCCAGCATGGCACAAAACTGGGTGTGGCGATACACACCTGTAATCCTAGCCCTTGAGAGCTAATTCAAGGGCTCAGTTTCAGCCAGTTTGAGACCAGCCTGAGCTACATAAGACCACATCTCAGAGGGGAGGGGGATGGGAAAGGAGAGGGAGAGATTTACAGGCTTTCTAATATCTCAGACTGGAAACCACCCCAGTGCCAGTCAAAGAATGACCGCAAATCCCACTGTGGTCCACCTCTTGGATGGATACAGCACAGAGATACAAAAGGCTACAAGATGACCAAGCTGAGAATGACGACTCTGAAGGAAGAGACAAGGCCAGAGTAAACAAGCACGTGACTGTCACCAGCTCAATTGCTCTGAGGGTCTCAGAAATGGAAACCAGTGTCTATGGAGAGAAAGCTAATGGAGGTCTGATTGGAGAAGGGCAGGCTGGAGACATCAGAGAGGCAGGAGTGGTGTCTGGGTGTGGTGCAAATGTTTGCCACCCTTGAGTGGCAGCGGCTGCAGGGAGCATGGGTGGTAGCTTGTGTGCACAGGCTCTTTCAGGCCACATTCTTCATGTCTGCACCTCAGTAAAGATGTGTCAAAAGGAAAATATGTAAGGCCAGAGAGAGCATCAACCATAAACAGTTACGTGACCGCGTGACTGGGAGCTTTGTCCTACGAGCCAGAGCAAAGAAACATGGCTTTTGGTACCTGAATCATTTCTGTTACTGGGTACCAAGTCAAGGGGAAGGGAAAGAATCTCAAGGAATGAACTGGGCGAAGTTTCTCCCAAGTTCTTGTGGCCTCAAATGCACGGACATCCACCTGCCTCTGCCTTCCTGATGCTTGAATAAAGCCACTTAAGAAGGTGCTCCCTCAAACTTTTTGCACAGAAAAAAATAAATAAATGCCTGCCAGGCGCTTCTGTGCATAGCCTTCGACCCCATCACGTCAGGGACTTTAATATGCCAACAGCAGTGGTGACAAGATTCTGACGCCTTTGCTAGCAACTGGCGGATCCCAAGATTCTCCTAGCCGAGACAGTACACAGCACACTTACCTTTCCTCTCCTCTCCCCAGTGAGCTCGCCACCCAGCAGAGCACACTTCTCGTGGCCGACCTCACTGCCGGAAGGTGATCGTGAGAACCTGGGACAGAGACAGAGTTACTCACAGAGTGACAAGCCTCGACTCCCTGAAGCCCATACTGTCCTCGGCTGGAGCCCAGAAAGGCAAAAACCAGGCCACCTGCCCAACTTCCTTTGAGAAAGGTGGTGTCATTTGTAATCACAGAAGGCACAAGGACCTGGTGGGAAGGGTGTACCTTAGGCAGAGCATATCTGCGTGGAAAAAGTCCGCCACCGGGAACAAGAAGCAGGTGCCGGGTGCTGCTCCCAGCTCCACTCCCTCCTCGTGGGAGCCCGGGTGGCCTGTGGCCTCACCTGAGCCTCTATTTCCTCAGCTGTAAAGCAGGGATAATTAACGCCTACCACCCTCTTTTATAGGGCAGACATAAGAGGCAAGCCATGACCCTAATAACTCTGTGAAGGCGTTTAGGGAAGACTGAAGAAGCCCCAGGCGGGATAATTAATGGTTCTTCTTAGCAACTGTGGGCACAACACTCACCCACTGCCAAGGAGCAGCCACGAGACCTGAGACCCAAGACCCCGGGGGCGGCGGGTCATCATATAAAGTGGGGATACAGACTTGCTTCTGCTTCTCAGTGTGTCTAGTCAATCGGCCCTCTGAGCCTCAGTTCCCTACTTATACAGGGGAAGGAGGAGGGGATCCGAATCCTCCCATTCCGATCGTGTTCTCTGCAGTACACGCCTGAACATGAAGCACAAAGTGTCTATACAGTGTTTAGGGTTCAGGGATGGGGGCTTGGGAATAAAGAGAAAGAAGAAAGGAAACAGGGGAGGGGGTTCCGAAACATTTGAACTCGATCCCTACCAGGCAATACTGCTGAGAGGGCATGAGTGTTCCTAATTTGAGACTCAGTTTCCCCATCTGTCACATAATCATGTGACTCCTCACAGGCATCCGGACAGCACAGTGAGACCCTGGGCATCTCTGCTGTCTTAGACTAGGAATCTCTCTTTCGAGATCTCCCAACATATAAACCATCCCTGGGGCGGGATGAGGGATGGCTCAGGGGAAAAGCCATTTGCTGCCAAGTCTGACGACCTGGGTTTCACATCCTGGACCCCTAAAATTAACTTTGGCCCCTGGCTGCACCAGCTCCCAGGGCCTCGAGTCTTCCTTAGTGGAAGCATGGTCACAGTGGAAACATCAAGGCTGGAGTGGGGGGTGTGGCACACACAGAGTGTTGGCATTAGCCTCAGTGGCTGACTCTGTGCTCCCAGGACTCCCTGCTGAGGGTCCCTCCATGGAGAACACTGTCCACACTCTTTCTGGAGTCTTCTCCCAATCTTTGATGGAAGGTCCTGGAGAGGATTTTGGTTCTAATTCCAGCTCTATGGAGGTAGAATCAAGAGGATATGGAGTTCGAAGTCATCCTAAGCTACCTAGAGAATTTGAGGCAGCCTCAGCTACATTAGACGGTGGTCCTGGTTTGAGGCAGCCTCGGCTACATTAGACGGTGGTCCTGGTCATCCAGGCTCTGTTGGTTTTATTTGTTTTTCAATATATTCATGGAGGCTGAGGCCTAATCTCCCCGCTCCAGCCTCTCTGTGTGTGTTTGTGTGTGTGCACACACGCGTGTGTATGGGGGGAAGGGATGCTGGAGACAGAAGTGGGAGGCTAGGGACAGAACCCAGGGCCCTGCGTAATGCTGTTTGAGTGCTCTGTCATTGAGGCACACGCCATCCCTGCTCTAGCTAAACGGCAGTCTGCCCCTGGGGAGACTTAGCCACAGAACCAGGCTGAGCTGGAACTGATCCAGACTCCCCAACTCTGGCTTCCCCACAGCGCCTCACCTTCTCACCCACACCTGTGAAGCAAGAACCTCATTTCCGTCACTGTGCTCCCACAGTGAGTACCAACTGAGACCAGCAGCAGGGATGTTCCGACCTTCTTCCCATCTGTGTGCCTCATCTCCTGAGAGGCATCACTACCATCCCCTCCCCCAGGGTAATGGATGAGATGTGTGCGTAGGTGTTGGGCTAGCCCTGGGCTCTCCGGTGGGGGTTGAGGCAGCCTGAGGTTGAGCAAGTTTCTAGGATGTGTCTACTTACGTTTTGGTCAAATCCATAGACAACGGCCGTGCCTGGGATGTCCTTCTCCTGACCTCCGGCTTGGCTCCTGTGCTCTCCACAGTCCAGCCTTTGATCCGAGCCTGAACATTCACACCAGTTCTCTCCGACTCTGGCACTGTGGATGGGGACACAGGGGTACTAGGCGAGGGCTCGGACACCACCACCAAGGCCACAGCAGTCTCTTCTTCAAACAGGCTGAGGCGTTTCCTGATGGTCCCTGCAGACTTCTTCTCTGTCCCTGCAGGAGCCTCCTGCTCAGACCCTCCACCCTTGACCTCAGCCCTTCCTGGCCTGGGCAAAGGGGACTCCGGCTCCTTCTCTGACTGCTGGTCTGGCCTTTCCTCGTCCTGGGGAGTCCTGGGACTGTCTGTAGCTGTCTGTTTAAGAATGGTCCTCTCCCTCCGCACATGGAGTCTCTTGGCCACCTCCTGGAAGTCTGAGTCAGGGTCCTGAGGGGTGACCTCCACGCGGACAGGGCCCTCTGCGTTGCCCTTGGGCTGCACGCCGATCTTCTCTGGGCCCTGGCTCTCTACTGGATTCTGTTCACTGGCCACCTTCCTCAGCAGCGTCTCTCTGCTCTCAAACACAGCAGTCAGATCCACAGACAGAGGCCTGGGTTTCCTCATCCACGTCTTCTCCGGAGGGACAGGGGGGACCTTGCCCATGACCGCCACTCCACCTGGGCCTGGCTTTGGGGGTGGCAAGTACTCGCTGAACACTGCGGACATGGGACGTCTCTTCGGTTGGGACTTGGCCTCTGGAGCCCGGCCAGCAGGGTCCTCCACACTGTGGGCCTTTGGCAAAGGTTGGGCTTGGCCTGCCAACTCCTGGGACACGTCAGACCCAGCATCCTTTGACAGGGAGGTGGGTCGGGGCAGAGTCACTAGGGGCTTTCGAGCTGGTAGGGCAGGCTTGGTGGCCACCTCAGGCCTGGCACTTAAGGGAGATGCCTGGGCTACGCAGGAGCTGGCCTCCCGGCTCCCCTCACTAGTTCCTTTGCCCAGGTTGGGTACGGGTTTGTTGGTTTCAAAGAGGCCCACGGTGCTGGGGCCAGACCTCAGGAAGGTGGCCTTGTTAGACACAGACGGGCCATTTAGCAGGGCCTCTCCTCTGCCTGCCTCCTGTCCGGCTAAGCCCGGCATCCTTTTAGCCACGTCTTCTTTAGCCTCCCTCATGCCAATCTCAGTTGAAGGACAGGACTGGGTGGCACCAGGCCACGAAGATGTGACAGGAGTCTTTTTTTCAAGGACCTGCTCCTTAAGGAAAGGCTTGGGAGCAATGGGCAGAGGGAACAGGTGGGTCCGTAGGGGGCTTTCTGTACTCAGGACTCTAGTGGAGGGTGCTCCAGGGGCATCCCCAGTCTGGCCAAAGTATGTTCTCTTCAGGGCTTTCTCCCTGCTGATGTCACCGAGGCCAGGCCCCGCCCTCAGGGATGCAATAGAGCCAACTTCGACCCGCGTCACCATGGTTACGGATGTAGCTCCATGAGGATTAAGCACATCAGATATGAGGAAGCAACTGCTAAAAAAAAAAAAAAAAACCAGTAAATTTAGCAAAGAGTATTTGTGAGACTCTGAGTGAGAGACAGAGAGACCTTAGACTCAGACTCAGAGCCCCAGATCCTGATCTCACTGGGCAAGTTCCAGATGCACTGTCATCTTCCTGGGTCCTGGAAAGGCACAGACAGCGACCTCTTATTCAGAGGGGTCAGGCAAAGCCCTACGATCTGAGGCCTTGCCTGGCTCAGCCAGTCTTGAGTTCAGCTTCAGTGGACTCAGCACAGAGAAGGTAAGTAACCACCCTCCGCTCACACAGCCATTCAAAGCAGGAGGCCCTGGAAACACTGCTGGTGAGCGCTCATGGAACCCAGTCAGCTGCCCCTCCCCCTCCTCCCACGCCTTCGGGTTTTGTTTTATTTTGTTATGGTCACTTGCCCTATGTTGTCTATTTGCTGCTGGTATTGCTATTGAACAACTTTTTATTTTGGCTTCCATGCTTGTTTTGGTTTTGCAGGGGTGAGAATGGAACCCAGGGCTTCCCAAGCTGCACATGCTCCATGCCGAGCCAGGTCCAGCCCCTTACAGTCTTAACAAGAGGAGTTCTGCAGTGGTTGGGATGAGGACTTATTGTGAGAGGCCTAGCTACGCCAGGTGCACCTGGTACTCCACCCATGTGCCCGTCCACCCTGCAGGCTGGTCTCACTTCCCAGGGGTCAGGATGCTCCAGCCCGACTTGCTCAGCTTTAAGATCTGCTCTCAGGCAGGAACCCCCGAATCCTCCAGCAGCTGAGAGAGGTGGGGATGATGGACTATGTGCTTCGTGGAGTGGAAGAAAATGGGCTCAGAGAAGTTCCCAGCTGGTTTCACTCAGCTAGAACCAGACCTCCCCGGTCAGGGCCCATCACTCCTTGCGTTTTGTTGTTGCTGTTGCTTCTCAGGCAGCCAAGGCTGACCTCCTGCCTCCGCCCACCAGGTGCTCTGACCAGGGGGTGGGGCCACTCCACTGAGTTTCAGCCCTGCCCCTTTAAAATGCAGTGTTTTTTGTCTTTCTCACCCTAAAAAGCATCATACAAACCTCCCTGCTCACGACCCACCCTGATGCGGCTATGAAAGCCATCCCTTCCTAACAGCCCAGAGATGGCCCTGCCCCTCCATGTGCTCAGAAGGGAGACAGTGTCCTGATTAACCAGGAACCTCCCAGGCCTTGTGTGGTTCCTCCACTGCAAGAAATGAAGACAGACAGATTTGGGCATTTTTCTCTCCATCACACACCCCATGGGCAAACAGATTCCAGCTCCCCAAGCCAAGGAGAACATTGTCTCCACTCAGCTGGGAGCAGAATGCAGATTTGGGAGAATACAAGCCTAACACCTTCCATCTGAACAGTGCCCAGGCAGAGCTCTAAAGCCCCCATTCCCACCCCAAACTAGGGACGCTCATTTCAGGTGGTTTCTCCAAGTCCCATCTACAACTAGCACCCAGCCAGGACATGGGACACAGACAGCACACAAAGGACAGACAGACAGAAAACTCCCCGGAAACCTCACCTTCCAAACACCCAGCCCCCAGCTCAGGATCGACTTACCCAGGCTGTGAGATCCTCAGCGAGGGACACAGGACCACCTAGGAATGCCGGGGCGGGGGTCACAGTTCATGGTGAATGGGCCATCCACTCGTGCCCATGGCAGAAGCAGCAGGGAGAAGAAAGCTGTGCCCACAGGCTGTCTCTGCAGGGCTGGGGAGACACAGAAAGACAGCTTGGTTCCGGAGTTCCTTCCGCACAGACGGTGCAAAAGCTTTCGGGTTCCAACTGCATCCGCTGGCGTCAACTCCAGCTCTTAGCCTCGCACGTCTTTCATCCTTATATATTCATGCATGGCATGCACAGAGTGCTGGGTCCACACAGGTGCTCAGTAAATGCCTCCCCTGCTCCCCAGATACACTTCAGAGCACCTACTTATGCACTAATGTGAAGTAGAGACTCCCTACAACCATGGAATTCATGGTTTTGTGTGTGATGCACTCAGGCACACACATTCATGAACACATACTCATGCATGAACACATGCACACACACACTGAGACACTCATGCACATGCTTATTAAAGAACATACTTTAATATATTAATATATATTAATACTTTAATATATATCATACATATACTCACATATGTACTCTTACACCCCCCCCCAAACACACACAGTGACATATTCGTGCACACACAAGCAGCTGTAACACTGCACAGAAGGGCAGAGGTCTATAATGGAATGGGGAGCCTATGGCCAGGGGTCGGGGTGGGATTTCATTGCTCAAAGATTGGTGCCTTTTGGCCAATGTCTTCAACCTGCAGGTGGTAGCTGCTGAGCACTCAAGGTGTCTACAGTCGTGCAAGGCGACATATGCCTGTCATCCCAGTATTTACGGAGGTGGAGACAAAAGGATCAGGAATGTAAGACCAACCAGGCTACATGAGATCCTTTCTCAAAACCAAACCAAACCAAAAGGATTCGGCTGACTTGGCCACTCTCTCCCCTATTCATGGCATCTATCCACTGAAGCCCTTGGAGGTTCTCATAGCCTCCTCAAGGCCTTTGCACTTGCTGGGCGCTATCTTTGGGATATGCCTTTTGATCACACAAATGTGAAAACTTTGGGTTCACCCCTTGGGCTACAATTCAGACATGCCCAGCCACGCACATGTGCTTGCAGAGCACCACAGATACTGGGCAGTCCACGGAACTTGCTGCTAGACAGTCACATTGACTAGGATACGATCCTCACTCCACACTCAGTAGCAAGCTCACAGGGCACCCTATCCCCTGCACAATGGCAGGCCACAAAACAGTATGTAGTAGATAGCCACTGGGTGTATAACTACACAGCGGACAGCCACTGGGTGTATAACTACACAGCGGACAGCCACTGGGTGTATAACTACACAGCGGACAGTCACTGGTGTATTAACTACACAGCGGACAGCCACTGGGTGTATAGATACACAGCGGATAGTCACTGGGTGTATACACAGCACATAGTCACTGGGTGTATAACTACACAGCGGACAGTCACTGGGTGTATAACTACACAGTAGAGAGTCACTGGTGTATAAATAGTTGCCAAGTGAATAAATGAAAGGCGAAAATTCTTCTGACCCCGATCCTCACTACTCTAAGGATAGCTCATTTCCAATCTGGGTTCCTGCTGCAGTCGGGACCTCAGAGTCACAGTGTTCTTCTGAACACTCATCAACTAATCAAGAGCCCTGTTGTCAGGATGGGTGACCCATGGGTGCCCTCCCCAGGGTAGACACCACATACACCTACTGTGGCCACAACCATCTTACCATTGTACCAGCATGACAATGCACATGAGGACAGAATGTGCCTCTTCATGGTTTTAATAGGAAGAGTGTCACCAGGGCAGCCAAAGGCACACATGGCCCTAAGCCAGCCCCAGAGGCCATGATGCA